GTACAGAAACGTAGAATTCGAAAACAGGCTTGATTTTCAAATTCAGCTTCGAGAACAATGCAGTTCTCGGTAAATATATTTTCCCCGAAGACGACGAAATCCGAAACTTAATGGCATCGCTATTCGCTTTAAAATAATTCCTCCTCCATACTATTATTTAATGTTCACATCTTTCACTGTTCTCGTTCGTTTTCTCTTTATTCCGATCTTATGCAACTTGGTATGCTTGTCACATACCTGGCGCGAAGGAGACTGTACTGATGGGTTCCGCTCCTATCCGCATCGCTCACAGCTAAAGGGATGAAACACACACTGCACCCAAACATGTTCTCTTGAAAACGATACTTGGATTAATCCCTTATCTTCTTATTGGTAATAATTTTCCCTCAAGCTCATCCAGCTGTCATTCTCTCCGGCTTTCTATGCACTTTCGCATCAATATACTCGACGCTTTTGGTGTGTGTATGTATGTGTGTGCCTGTATCTGCATCTGTATGAGTGCTACTTTTTGATTACATATATAAAATTTGGAACGGCGATTGCCAGAGGCTGAAATTTTTTGAACAATTTCTCCAGTCGTATACAGGGCCCTGAATCTGAAATCAACTTTCCATTCGTGAAGCTGACTCTTTCACATTCCCTCCGCCAGGAACTAAAAGGATATGAAGTCGATTTTACACTGCTTGATTAGCACAAGACATGAACACTGTCACTACATTCTTTGCTTCCTAGTTTTAGTAGCACTGTGCTGAAGTATCACAATGGCAAACATTCACTAGTACGCGGACAAGCACACACACACACACACACACACACACACACACACATACACACACAAACACATATATATATATATATATACCACATACGCATGCACACACATACACACACAACGTCTTACCAGAAAGCATTTCTGCCCTTATATATATAATTCGCCTCGTTTTATGTTTTTATGTGCATTATTTTTGCAAAATGTATTATGGTAAAAAATACTGCTAACACTTCCAGCAAATTCCGACACGAGAACATATGTGAACTGATGGGAGTGTGTTTCGATGCAACGCCGCGTTTAATTATTCTCGAGCTGCTTGCTGGCGGAGACCTCAAATCATTTCTTCGCGAATCTAGACCTCGAAACGTTCGTTTCCTCATGCATGATTTTTTCACAATCGACCATCAGACGTTAGATTCTTACGTTTTGCGTAACAAAGAGAAATAGTACAGACAAAATCATAAAAAATATACTGAGCGCTCTAATTTCATTAATTGTTTTATGGATATGATGATTAAAGGCCTTACATCCGAATAATTCATGGCTTCTCTGAGGCGTTTTTGCAGTTTATGTACTATTGACAGATCCTACAACTCTTACTACTTCGTGGAGGAGATACAGTTCAACTCCTACACTTTTTTCCAAAAATGCTTGTGAATAGGGACTACTTCATCAGGCACCTTTCGAATTCTTAACAAAATACATTTCAACAAACATCAGTCATACTCTCATAAAGCCAATAGCACGTCAGGAAATTTTAAAGGTCGTATCATCATGAAAATTTAGTCTGTTTATTTTTCTGGAAATTAAAAAAAAATTTACCGATAGACGAATATCCTATTTATTAATGAAAAGCAACAGATATTTTCGGGATGCAGTCAGACGATACCTTCTTAACTTGCACAGTCTGCCCCCAGGTGCTTACTCGTCGTTCCAGTTATGAGTATGTCGTTTTTGATTTAACGTATACAGTGATTTAACGTATACAGGTGTCCTACTCTTTTTTTCAGAAAAATTGTAGCAAATCCTGTTTTTTCTAACATCTGAACCCTCTTCTCCTGTTTCAAAAAAATTTTAATCATACTACGGCGCCTTTCATTTACAGGATGCACTGTCTTGCTACCGTA